CTTATTTGCTGATGATCTTGTTTCTCCTGTTTTTCTTTTCTTGTTTCTATAGCCCCTAAAAAATTCTCTCAGAGTCAGTTTTCTCTAAGTAAAGCTCCACGATTCTCATCAGCCCAGTTTTATGAGAAGTTAGAATTGTTTCCTCTTTCTGAGCGGTTCCTCGAGGTGGAAGAACTCGAACTCGAACGATGGAGCTCGCAAATTTTTCAGTTGTTTCGAATTAGTCGCGTTTCGTACCTTAAGACACAGTAGTCCCTTTATTTTTCTGGTCCGATGGGAATTGTCATGACACGAAACGCTCCGGGATTCAATCAACTATCATCTTAAACTCTATTTGCCCAAAATTTTCTCTACTTACGTGTTATGGGCATCTCCTGGTCGTCTAATGTCTCTTCTATTTCACTGTGTGTGATTACTGTATACAAGAATCCGCGGACTGCGAAATTCGCCACGTTTGCTTTTGAAGATAGAGGTACAAATAAGACGAACGTTAGGTTGGGATTTAAAAATACCGAAGGCCTAACTAGTAAAGTTCAACCTGTGAGCCATGCTTTTCCGATTTTGTTTCAGTTCCATCTCAATTGTTCCTTCGCTGAAACTATTTCTAAAGTACCATTCTAGAGGAGTGGAACCGTTTTTCCACCTTGCTGAGCCCATATGTGGAACTGCAACAGGGCAGTGTCGTATAATGAGAAGTTTTGCCCATAATTACCTCACGTTTGCTACACTTCGTGTTACTGCCATCGTTAGTATTCTGGGCTTCACCAAAATATTTGGAATCGATAATTGTTCAAAAGCGATAATAATAACAATAATAATAATCGATAAGGATCGATAGCAATGATAACAGCCAACTGTACTTATGAATAGCATCCGAATTTTCTTTAAGGATCAACTAAACTTCACTGAACGCCATAGTTCTGAAGGTGCATAAACAGACAGGTTCGAAACAACTCTGCAGGATGACCTCCGCTATCAAGCTTTTTATCAACCACCTTGATTCACTGCTCAGATCGCCTTATTTTTGCTTCATGGCGTTCCTGTTCGTAGTTTGTTGAGGAAGCTAGGTACTACAGATCCCTATCCGCTCTTTCTATATCGAGGAACTTCCAGCCAACGCGTTGAATGCGTTGACTGAATTTTCGTCCATCCTGCGCATGGTACAAGTTCCGAGCCGTAATTCAAGGCAGGAAGGACCACAGTGGTAAAATGATGTTCACCGAGCTCGATATTCGGTGCCTTTTTTACTACTGGCTCGTTGTTCTTGCCCCAGGCTACTCGTTTTGTTCTGGTCAACTTCAGTTCTGAGTTGTTCATCATGTCGACCTAGGAAAGCATAGCTGGAGCATTCGGGAATGTTTCCACCGTAGAGCATACAGGGGAAATAAGCAACGAGGCGGTCTCTTATAAACATCGCCTCCGATTCGTTCGGTTTTACAATGCAGCCTACTTGATAGTCGATGTCTCATTGTTAGGCACGACGCCGTCTGGAAGTCGTAGGTGATATATGTGTCTGCCGTTAATTCGCAACTTCATTTATTCCCTACTGGAATGACCCAAATCGTTTTTAAGGAGGCATTAAAACGTATGGGCAAGATATCACCACCTTGTTCACAGCCCTATTGACATTGACGATGACTTCTTTGTGGTGTGGTGAGATTCTAGTTCTGAAGCTGTAGAGGTCACAAAGCTCCGTTATTTAGTGGGAGCACTCTGGTCGCTCTAAGCTTGGACAACCGTTTACTGTGCAGTACTGTCAGAGGCCTCCTTCCCTTTGCAAAGGGAATCGATGAATGTAGAACATAATTGTAACTTGTCGTCGAGCAACATTACAATGACTCTTGTAACCATGTGATTGTGGCCAATCATACTGAACCTGCATCGGCACTTTGAGTGCTTTCACAGCTGCCCTCCATCTAGTTTTCTGTCAAACCTGCTGAGGTTGGTTCTCGGGAAGAGCTCAGAGACTACAAAGAGCAGTTGAGGTGAGGTCCTGCTAAAAAATGAAACTAAGCAGACAGAAGTGGCTGTTAGAGGGGTCAAAGGAGAAGTCATGGATGACCTTCTTCATTGCCCTCCAGGATGCGGTGACAGTTAAGTCTCGAAATTGAAGGGAACTCAGTCTGGTCTTGTAGTTGGAAAACTGGAAAAGCTCGTCCGAGCATCGCTCAGGCTTCTTTTAATCTTGGGGTTTTCGACCAGAAATGCTGCTCTTCTTCCTTGCGATGTTCCTTAGGATCCATTATTGTATACTACGCAAGTTACTTGATGAAAGGCTGCATCTCGTGCGACTCCATGCTGTGGTGTCAATCTCAGAATTCTCAAAGAGGTGCTATTTAGCGATTTGCAAACTTCCTAGTTTTCTCAGCGCTATCGTGAAAATGTTCGACGATTCGGTTGTACATATTTCTTGTCGACGTCGTTAGAGGAACTTTCCCATAATCCGTCAGTGAAGTGAAATGGTCCCAAATGATGACGGTTTTGGGCTTTCTCTCTTGCGCTTGACGGAAGCCTTTCCATGCATTGGAAAACAGGGTCTGTTGAGATGTCTAATGCGATGAAGAAGAAGGTTTGAAGGTTTGCTCCAATGTGGAACATCGGAACAACAACGATATCAATAGGCAACATTTTCTACCAAAGTAATAGTATACAGGGTGACCCACATGAAGTGTGCCGCAGAAAACTAGCATCAAACTTATACAAATCGAACCAAATAGGAAACATTTACTTCCATTCAATCATCACAAAACTGTAAACACTATCTCATCACACATTCAGAATGACCATCTTTCGCTTTAATGCAAGCATCCAACCTCTTTCGGAAGTTTTCAAAAATGCGCGCAATCACTTTCATCCCCCGCTTCTACAAAAGAAACTTCTTCTATAGGTTCCTGAGACATGTGTTTGGAAGCGCACGCTTTTTGCTCCAGAACTCACCATACAGTAAAATCCAAAGAATTGAGATCGGGCAATTTGAAGGTCAAACATGCTTCGCCCAAAAACCCGGAAGCCTGGTTTCGCAACGTTGCAGCGTCTTCTCTGTGCTGGGGGCTGGTGTCCAATCCTGCTGGAAGGTTCAGCTTACGTTCATGGCGTTCTTCTCCACATCCTTTAGCCCAAAAGCCCATAAGTCAATTTTTTTTCTTGCCCGTCACACTTCATGTGGGTCACCCTGTACAAAAGTAACCAAATAAACAAGTATGTAGGTACTCCACAAACCAACAAAAACCTAAGGAAAATCTTAGAAACTTTATATTCTAAGACCCTACCCCTAGTCAACTGAGAAGTTACTCGAAAATAGCAAGAAAAAGTTCAGAGTTAGGTTGCAGATGTAACAACCCGATATCCCAGTATTCCCACAAAAGTAATATCTTACTAAAATTATCTCTGCTGCTTTTTAACTTTTTTACGAACACTCTATCATCCAGAATCGACGGCTGCGTCCCAGGCAAGATAGGGTAATGGCCCCTACATCACAACGGAAGTAGAGGAGCATCAGCGAATTTTCCCTATGTTGTGCAATTGCGTAAACGGATGATCACAGTATTCCTAGATAACTCTGGGCAATGCAGCTCTATACTTTTCTTACTACATATATCCCTCTTCTTACACTCATGCAAGACACAACACGCCGCCTTCAGAAGCGTGTCTAACACGTCTGTAAGTGGGCGTTCTTGTCAAAGGGACTGGGAGAGAGCGGAAACCTTCCAAACAAACTTTTTCGCCATGGCAGCTTTGTACATGACTTTCCTAAGCTCGTTTTTCCCAGCTAGTAAGTAATTTAGAAACGCCTTCGTATTATTTGTGGGTATACAGCTCTAATCAGTGGCTAATAACTTTGTCATTCCCTTATACTCATCGACAATTGATGAAACCTGCGGCCTTTTATCTGGTCAGGTTTATTAGATGTAGATCCAGATATAAAGTTTACAGGAAAAAGTAAATGCAACTTCCCAGATTGATCACCCACAAAAACCGTTTTGTTTCTGGATGGCCAATTAATTCCGTCTTCCACCTAGTTATACTAATTTTTTTTCAGAGATGTATGGATGAATTCCCCGTGGAGAGGTGCTTACTTCATAAAAAGGTCGGTGATTGTAAGTATACTGAAACTTGGCAATATCTTATGAAGATAAAATGTGCGAAAACATGTGGATTCTGCATTATATTGCGAAAAGAACTTCCACCAAATCCTCTACGAAGTCCTACGCGAGCTCCTCCTCCACGAGCTCCTCCACGAGCTCTTCCACAAACTCCTCCACGAACTCCGCCACCAAGTCCTTCACCAACTCCTTCACGAAGTCTTCCACAAAATCGTTCGGGATCATCTTTAGTTATAAGAAATAAGAATGGAACAGTATAAATATTTTGTAAATAAAGTTTTTTTGTCTGTAGTTGATCTTCACACATGCACTTTCCGGGATACGCCAGATGATAGCATTTGTGCTACGGAAAGGAGTAACGCCAGTGATAAAGGCGTTATGTAAGATCTCGTCATCTAGACGCTCTAAATTTGTTAGAGCTTTTCAACCTGTCATCATATCTGACTGTCGTTAATGGGCCTTCAAATAGGAGTCTCCAAGAAGTTTCCACCTTCTTGAGTTGGGGTCAAGTGCATGCCGCCTCCTCAACTTGTTCTTCATAGTGGGATTTCTTTGCTAATGCCGGTTGGCATCCTTGAGACACTGCTTCTAAAAGCTTTTTTAATCCGCTCCCAAATTTATTGTTGATGAAGTTTTAGACTCTTCCCTACTTACTGTTGCTGATTCCCTTTCAATCTCTAGGGATGCCCGAGAAGTTACTAGGCAGTTCCTTTCTCCCATAGCTCGGTGATTTATCTATTTTTCGGCGTTCGTGAAAAAGTTACGTATTATAATCAGAAGAACGCCTTGAATTAAAAATGGTTACGAGATTCTTACGTAAAAGACCGAGAATTCGTCCTAGGTTTGAAACGAACCTGTGGCCCCATAATGCCACATGTGGCGGTGTCGGGACAAAAAATGGTCCACACATGGCTCAATAGGGGCTCAAAAACCAATAAAGCTGCTGAAATTTTGAGTGTTTAACAGCTTTTTAGAGGTTTCATCATATTCCGCCCCACCTACAATGGAGCACATTCTTTATGCAACTACACGCGTAACTAAGCAGCGACTGGAATTTCGTCCGAACAGTCCCTTTTTCGCGGAGTTGAATCTTTCACAGATTCTGAGGATCTTTCCGTTTCCTTCGTCACAGATGATGCATAGTCTGCAGCACTTTTTCGTTTAATTACTCGGAACGATACTGAGAATTATCGGCGAGATCTGTGTTTTTGGCCTCCAATGAAGGCTCTTATCGTTTTCTTAATTTTCCTCTAAAACTCCTCGTGAGCGCATTCCTCGAGCCCATCATAATATCAGAAGAGTGGGGCTGTCCTCCATGACCTAGCCGGCATTCGCTGCTGTAGAGCATCGCGGCCTCACACTGACTCGTATACCTTACCTTTGAGCTTTCTGGACACAGACGCCTGCAAAGAATACCAGCGATATCATCCACTTCATCCATGTCGTGTGTATTAAAGCTTTTACAGCCTTTTCCGGCTACCACGACGACGACTAGGTCACTCCTCAGATATGAGGAGCCCTGTCCTCTCGACGGCTCCTCCAACAGTGTCTACGATTGACTACGTGCACGACCCGGAGCCAGGGAAGTTGGCCTTCTTCACGTTCAGCACCACCCGCTCCCAGCACTTTCTGCCATTTCTGCAGCTTGTCTTGGGTTTTTTCCTGCTCTACGCTATTGGAGCGATATCATGAGCGTGGAAAATTGTATTCAGAGGCTCATACATGACATCCTTTGTGATCACATTCACTGTGAGCAGCAAGAACAACGCCGCCAGGGCTGATCTTTGCTGAACCTGAGCGGTGATGTCTATCGCTTTCGTTGAGTCGGTTAACAGCTATTCAGAGTCAACACTTGCCCCATCAAAGCTTTACAGAGAATTGAGTCCATCTTGAGATCGCGATCGCTAATCGCCCAATGTCCCCGCTACACTTGAAGAGCGATATTGTAAAATATCGAGTTCACTCGGATCATTCCGAATATTTTTCAATTTTCTAGAGAAGCGGAGAATAACAGCTGATGGGAGAGCTCGAAGAAAGTGAAAATGGAAATCCATATTTTTGAAAGACTTTAACCGGAACGACCTTTCTGAACACACGTGCCAAGACCAAAACGAAGTCGATCAAGGACTATTTATGAAATTTAACAATGTTTTTCCTACTATTGGTCACAGTCAATAATTTTCTGTTGTCAACGATAGGGTCACATCGGAACTAACTAAACATCATTAAAACCGTTTGTCATCGTCCATTAATCAAAATCAGACATCCACACCAAATATTCACATCACTTTGATAGGAACTATTGGATAAATAATACACTCACTCTCTACAGCGTTTTAGAAAAGCTTATCACTCATCGTCACTTTCTACAGCGACCAGTCGACGCCTTGACCGAGAATAGACATAGAACTTCAATTTTTTACACGAACATATCAAATTTCAGGGTATACAGATTGGCGCCGAAGGAGAGAAACCGACGAGGCTCTTTCTTTGACTGTCAATATGAACCGAGCTAATTAACCAAGACGGGAACGGCCCAAGAAAAAGTCGCTGTAGGTATCTCAATAGGTAACCTACGCGTTGGATGTCGCTACGATTCCAAAAGAAACGCCAATGTACGGGGCATCCAAAAAACGGATCAGCTTTGGTTGCCACCTTTATCGTCTAACACCAGTTCTTCCTACATCGTGACATCACCCTCTAATTTTATTTGGTCTTCGGAATCAATGGATCGTGAAAACTGTATGTTGGCACCGCATAAAAATTCCACAAGCACAAGAAAAAACTCGAAAGAGGCTTTCCTCAGCTGCCATGGGTAAACCATTTCAACGGTTCAAGGGGAAACAAAGACAAGTCCAAGATAAGGGTGCATCCTATTCCTCAGCCCCCTGTCTGAGGGACCACTCAGCCGTGTCTGAGGTACCGTTCAATCTCATCAGTCTGGGATATTTCTTGGGAATCAATTATTCACTATAATAATATAACTCACGGAATATTAACGATTTCAAATACAAAAATAACCTAAGCAGCTGGACACTATATTATAAACCATTAGAAATGCTATATGAGGACTCGGGTAAGCGATACCCACATGAAACATACATATCGATTGGGATGTTTCAAAATCTAACTTCATATCCACGGTTTCATGACGTTACAGCCTCAACGGCTCCTTTGTTGGACAAACTTCTCCCAACTCCCAACCCAACTTAGTATGAGTGACCTCATGCCTCTGAAAGTACTTTCAAGGAATACTCTAAGCATTGCTAGTGCTCCTCTTGTTGGATGTTTGGTCGCTCAAGAGAAAGGTTATGAACTGGTTTTGCATGAACCTCATAAGTACCTTTTTGTGAGGTACTTATGATGTTTATGGTGTCATTACTTCAAAAACAGTTTGAAAACGAGTTAGAAGGTTCTGAAAAGTGGGGAATGAAGTCTCCGCACAAATGGCTGCCTCAAATTGATGTTTCAATGTAACAATGGATACATCCCATCGATAACGGTGAAAGGTGCTGGCAAAAGGAATATTCAGCTTGAAGAAGCAGGATATGACCTTTTTGGACGATTGGCTAAGGCCGACCAATGTATTAAAATAACCATGGATTCATACACAATATATGATCTCAAATTATGATCATATTTGGTTGGCAGCAATGAGATGGATTCTACCAGAGTGACATTCGGCTGCATTTTCTCTTCCGAGTGATCATTAGGCAGAAATACATCCAAGAAATTCTTTCTTGTACTGCTCTGCTTTCGTAAACTACTTATTTAAAAGCGATAGAAGGTTCTGGATT